TGTAGCAGCAAAGACACGTCAGGCTGCGTTAATAATTTCTTGAAATGCTTTTTCTTTCTGCATTGCATTGAACCCCCACATTTGAAATAATTATGGTATTACCCCTTCTTAGAAGTAACACATCCAGTTGGACAGAAAACTCTGATATACTGCAGTTGAACATGTAACTTTGTCTTCAGCTTTATGATGTAGAGTAAACAGTGAAGTCCCTTTTTTGAGCTTTAATGAGGAGAGCCTTAAAAGCATTGTGCAACAATATCTGTGATGTGATTATCCTGCCTAGGCCTGGTTTCATTTTAGCTTGCATCACTGACGCTGGGTCCTTGCTTATATAATGTTCTCTCCAGGATCAATGAAGATTACCTGGCAGGAGATCATGGTCGGGGTACAGAGTGCTCTTCTCATGTTCCCAATCAACATCCTCATCATCACCATCTTCAGAAGCATCAAACCTCGCATAGTTTCAAAGTCTAAAAAAGACGACCCTGAGGGGGTCTTGAGACCTCCTGCTGTAACCTTACCCAATATTCTGAAGGTGACTCTAAAAATATAAAACCTTTCTGGATGTGACACTCTTAAAGTGCGTTATTTATCTAATTTTCCAGTTTATGTTGCAGTAGCTATAAACAGTGATCGTGGCTTTGACTTTAGCTGACCTATAAGGTATTGTATGTAATCTTACTTCTTCCCTGTGCATGAGTTAAAACTGTATACATTAACCCTTTGTAATATTTCTCAATCCTTCGTAGGAAACACAGGAGGTGATTTCTTGGTTGAGCAAAAGTCCAAGAAACAAGATGCCAGAGGTTGGCATACTGGAGAGCAGCGCTGACCTCTACCCTGCCTTAGAAAAAGTGCATGAATTCATTCAACATATGCAAGGTTGTGTTTTGAAATATAGCACCTGATTAAGTCTTGTAAAATAGCTCTAGCCAATTAAAAGAGTAACACAAGTTCTCCACTGCCTCCTCTGTCTAATCCAAAATTAGGAATATAAGCTAAAACATTATCCCACAAAATTAGCCTGGCAATAGTGTGTGATTTATTATTATTATTCAAATAATAATAATAATCATCATTTTTATTATTATTAGTAGTAGTCTATCAATCTATCTTTAAAACTAATCCAATTTAGTGTGCTTCTCAGAGAGATGGTTATAATTTTGGGGATTTTTGTCACCCGATCACAGGGGAGAGTGAGAGCAGCCCCCACTGGGTGTACTGCAGCAAGTTCCTGCTCGCTGGTCTCAGTCATCTCGCCATGAGCTTGGAGAAACTGGATGCAAATAACTTCATGATTGTTGACCACTACAAGCAGACCCTCAACATGGCCATCCTGCTGGTGCGCAAGGCGGAAATGGTTTTAACCAGCCACCTGACATACTGGTCAGCAAACACACACACACACACACACACACACACACACACACACACACACACACACACACACACACACACACACACACACAGCATACACACTATCTGTGTAGAGTAGAAAAGTCATCGTTTCACATTGTTTTACTATTCTTTTCTACCCTGTCCTTCACGCAGCCCACCTACCATAATTAGGACGAAGACGAAGAGTACAGGAGGCTGCTGGCTGCCCTGGTGGTGTGTGTTCCTGGGCTGGTTCCTGTTGCTCTCCATCAGTGGAGTTTCCACCTTCTTCACCCTGTTGTACGGCTTTCAGTACGGCAGAGCAAAGTCCATCAAATGGGTCATGTCTCTTGGCCTCTCCCTGTTCCAGAGCATCTTCATACTGCAGCCTCTGAAGGTCTTAAAACAATCGTCTTTTTAGTCACACATGCACAGATGATTTGCTTACTGCAGAATGATGCATACAAATGTGTGGGTCAGCTTAACCAGAGAATTTCTTTGGGTTCTGTTTTCACAGGTGATAGGCATTGCTGTGTTGTTTGCCCTGCTGCTGAAACCCGTAGCTGTGGAGGAATCTGAAGAAATAGAGCAAGTGCTTTCAGGTGAGTAAAACATTTTGCCTCCGACCCTTTAAAATGACAAGTTTGGGCTGTGGAGTCTCCTGTAATTATAAAGTGTCATCACTGTGTTCATGAATGTCATGTCATGCTCATTGTGAATTATGTTTCATGCATTGTAAGAATTTAACAACTCATTTTCTTTGTCTTTGTTATCTTGTTAGTACTGAAATGTAACCAGAGTGTTAGCTTAACATCTCCATTATTTTCATCTTTCTTTTCATATCGAACCTTAAAGCTGGTATAATTCATTGTTTTTTAACAATGGATACAATATTGCTGTATTGGAGAAAATAAATTACATCTTCTGCAGTTTCCTGCACTTCTAACGAGCATTATAAACTCTCTGACAGTTCATTGTTTTGGAGCTGTTTACATAAAAAGCACTAAAAACATACTTTGATTGCTCACATGTAAGCATGTAGCAGCTAACTAGCCAGACATTCCCCTTCTTGAGGTTTTAGAAATACTCAAGAAAAGATAAAAATGAGATCAGAAACATTCAGTCTTCTGGATGCATAAATATGCTCACTGCTAACTTTCACAATAAAAGCCCAAATGGTTTGTTTATGTGGTGTTCTTAGCTTGTTTCTTCATCCCATTTTTAATTAATAAAGAATTAGACTGTGACCCCATAGTATATAATAAACTAGTTTCAAGTCTTTCAGAATAATTGGCGGAGAGAGCAAGTTTTTTTTTAAACAGTCACTTAATATAATCTACACAAAAGTTGTGAGGTCCAAACTCCCTTATCATAACTCATAAAGCAGACAGAGGTATTCCTTTCATTTGGTTTCAGGTTGACTGCAGAGAGCTCTTACATAAGGATGCACTTGAACAGCAGAACTATTTTGCTTTGACAACTTCAAACTAGTGACCCTTTTAGTTTTCTATTTCTTTCTCCTGACAGTAACAGTGTATTCCTCCTTCATTTAAAGTGAAGTAAAGTACTGTGAGTCTTACCGCACTGTGTTCTCCATTTAACAGCGCAACAAGACAAGTGTAAAAGCTACTCTGGCAGAGCCACACTGTGAAGAGAGTACATTTAGCCGGGTATGCCGTCTTCTCCGATGAACACAGCTGCCACCCACGGCACCATGGCTTTTTAAACACTCTTTTGCACTTATTGGACGTCACATAACTACGTAAAAAGTTCTGTTGTTTTGAATGTGTGCAGAGGAAAGTTTTCTGAAACTTTAGAATTACTCAATAATAATTCTATGACTTAGCTTGTAAAGTGTTGCTTTTTTAAGTCATTTTACTTTCCATGATGATGCATGTGTTTATGTAGAAAAACTCTGGTGTATGGTTTTGAACGGCATTAGTTGAATCCATTTACAGCTTCAAGAAGCATCCGTAGGTTTAGATGTCAAAATCTGTAAGCACGTTCATGGTTGTTTTGAGTAATACAATTTGTCCTGAATCCAATATAAGCAAATTAAGTTATAGAGTATAAGCTCTGCAAAAAATATTGGATGTATCTACAGACATACTTTAAAAAGAATCATGTGTACAGTATATAAACATTTATTTTTAATTACTTTGTTTGTCTACTTAACTTATTTGGGGTTTTACTGGAGCATTAATTGAAATCATTCCTGTTTTAGCATAGCATCGATCATACCTATATTACTAATGTCAGCACAATTATTTAAAGTCAGCAACTCAACATTTGAAGGCTAAGCAACTGCCACAGTCTTTCCATGTTGCTAATTGTCAGAGTGACAATAAATACCAACATGGACCTCCACTTTCCCAGAGTTGGAAGGTGCATTTATGTAACTGCAGATATGTCAGCTGATTACTTATTGATCACTTTTTCCATTTCATCTCCTTCAATGTAATCCAGGCAGAAGGTACATGTCATGACTGCTCATCACATGTCTGGGTCCGTATGATTCAGTGTGTCCTCCTTATAAATGTTTTATGTGGGTGACCTGCAGGTAACTATACACTGAAGCTGTGCTTCTGGGTTTGGGAAAACATTCAAGTCTGAAAATCCTTATAAATGCTTTCTTCTGTGCTTTTATTTAATCAAAATCATCAGATGTACTCATTGATTTCACGATTGATACTATTTGTATTGTAAGTTTGAACTTTAATAAATTGATAACTATTCAAATCCTGATGTTGTTAATCTATCTGTCAAAATGAATTGTGAACCGAGTTGCCAAAACTTTTTCAATTCTGAAGAAACATTGGCATGCCAGGCCAACACCTCTGAGACATTATGATATGTTACCATAGAGAAATCCCCACATAACAGATAATGGGTAAAAAGTTCAATCACTAATAAAAGAAGTGAAACATAAACCTAAATGTGTCATAGACAAGAAGTCAGATGAATGCTGGACATAAATTCCATTGCTTTGTCACAATGGCAAAATATTTGGACACTTGATGGAATGATCTCTCTTGTCTTTCTGGTTGTCTTTAACTCTTTATTTACATCCCTTTGTAGCTGTTTCTCGTGAAGTCATTTTACTTCTGTGGGTAATCGGTGTCTCAATGTGTATATTTTATATTTTTGTCATAACGTGTGTCTATTTTCTGTTTGATTCATTCTCTTTTGCGGTTGTCTCTATTGACTCGTTTTGGTCATAATGACTTTCTTTGAGATATAGTTTTTTTCTGAATTTTTCTCTCCCAAAACAAATGTCATGACAACTTAAGAAGAGGCTCTGGTCAAGAGGCCCATAACCCATTTTTGCCCTCTCAAAAAAACCGTTGAAACCATGTATATCATTATGTATGTGTACGAATATGATGCAGAACAGTAAAGATAGAATTATAATAATCATCTAAAAATGTGAAAGAAATACTCTTACATTAAAAATACACCAATCCGCTTCATCTTTACGTAAAACATTTTTTGTTGGTTTGTTCTGTGACTTTCTCCTTTAGCGTTGATTCTTTCTCATTATGCTGAGGACCCCTGCTGGTCATCAGGTGAAACAGCAGCACTGTAAAGCAGATAAGTGTTAAGGACATTAAGAGCCTTACACGTTTCCAGTTCCATATAATCTTTTATTAAATTGTTTAGTATACAGTGGAAAAAAGGTGTCTATTGCAACAAGACAACAATTTGTATCTTGAAGATTAGCATGAAAGAACAGTCCAACATAGAAAAGACACATTGAGCAGATCACACCGTTCTGTAGTGTTAATAACCACATCTTCACTTTCTCAAACTCCTAAAAAAACAAAACAATCATGGATTAACTATGTCCATCACCCAGTCGGAGAGCTTTTCAGAGTGTTTCCCAGACATTGCTGAATCATCTTGTTAAAGTCCTCAGCTCATTTGCCATGTTACACCCAGACAGAAACAAAACCCTTCACTCCCATTTTCTCCACAAGAAATGGAAAATATCTTCTATTGCCAATACAATGTTTTCTATCATCCAATCTGCAATTTCCAACACAAAGCAGTTTAAGAAAATTGTTTATGGCCAAAGTAAATAAAGCAAAGTTTGTTCATGTACCCAGTCTTGGGGATAACAAACACATAATCCTACGGACTGGCAAGGCCTCTGATGAGAGATGGTAACTAAGGCAAATGCAGTGGTGAACATACAGTATAAGACAAATGCACACAGGGTAACAGAGGACATACATTTACATCGAATCACTCAAATTGAGCTTAGCTCTGCACACATTTTGCTTGTTATTTTAGTACTTCAATGAAAAGACAGTGCAGGTATTTGTTCAAACTGATAAACCAAAGGGCAACAAAAAAAAAACTTTATTTTGAGATATGGTGTATTAAACAGAATTGCCTAATATTGTACAATACCCTACTTCCAAAGGCTTTTTGCTGAACAATTCAATCATTCATGTAAATAGGTCTATCTATATTTTTAGCATTATATTACAGATTTCCATATACTGTTTCATCACTAAAAATCAGTGCCTCACGACTCCTGTGACAGGTTTGATGTGTCATCGTTAACTCTTCCTGAAGGGCTCATATACCTCTGACAACTGATAATAAATAAATCTTGTGACTTAACGCATCGTTTCCACAGTGACAAAACGGCATGACTGGGTGGACACTGGATATATGGCTTCTATCTCTATGGGAAAAAATAGATGGTAATTGAAGCATTGCTGCATAAATATCTGCAGCCTTTGTCCTCGTGAATTCCAGTTTTCCGCAAAAGCAGGGCGGCCGGATGGGCTGGTTTGACTAGTCTGAGACAGGACTGAGCGACACAGTGGAGAGATCATAGAGAGACAGCATGTATTCAAAGTTTTAGTCAGACCCAAATCCCCAGGAAAAGCTACAATTGAAATCTTTGTTTGGTTATACAATCACACTCAGAGAATGGGTACATTTAAAAGTGAGTGACCTTCATTAAGGAGTGATCACATGATTGTAGGTAGTTATATGCTTAATAAGCTGTTTGAAAGAAAGAAAATAAAATGGGTAATTGTTTGTACTGCCAAAAGAACCAAAAGTTCTGCTAATAATGAAAATGAAAGAAGGGTCCAATGAGCAACCACATCCTCAGTAAGATGGTCATATTTATGCAAATGAGGTAAGAATACAAGTATGTTTAATTTCTATGTAAGATTACTTCACTGTTGAAGGAGTAAACTCTCCAGATCTGACTGAGAGCATGAATATTTTCCATTTCCTGTTTTGAGCTGCATATGTGACAAAACGGGCCTGTGTATGAATGTGTGTGTGTGTGTGTGTGATTGGACCAGGGTGGTAGCATTTAGGTCTTCTTCTTCAACTCCTCAAACCGCCGTGTTAAATCGTCAAAGTCGATGTCATCCGAGGTGGCAGTGTGTCCTCCAAAGGATGATGTAGGGAGTGTGTCGGGAACAGAGGGGAGTTCTGGGAGAGCGTTGTTGTCGAACCTCTGATGGGAAGGGCCAGGACCTGAAGAGTGATACGAGGTATTCAGTTGAATCTAATCGATGCAACAGTATATCTGGCAGTTTCACATTACCAGCAAATCAAAGAGCAAAACTAATAAACGCAGACACACTCTGTTCTTACTTTAAAGTTCTGAACTTAACTAATAGATTCTAAGAATTGATAGTAGCTTACTTATCTGGTGTTTATACTTCCAGTGTTGCCTTAAAACTATTAAAACCTCTTTTGTGATCCATAACGCAGCACTTAGTGAAAGGTTCGAGATTGTATTTTGAATCGTCATTATTCTGCTGTGGTAAATAGTCACCCAACACTTATTGTGCTTTGGAATACAAATCCAGTAACATACAACAATGAGAGCCGTATTCTTTTATCTGTTTGTTGATTGTCAAGTGAACTCACCTGTGGCCTGGGAAGGAACAAAAGGTTTGTCAGTAAGGTCATCAATCTGAAACACAGAGAAAATGTTTAAAGGAATATTGTCATCTTATTATGGAAGTGTATCATATTTATATGAAATATCTTGAATATTTGTTAGTGCTGAGAGAGAATTAACAATAGCGTTTGACAATGTGTAAGTAAAAAAAAAAAAAACATTGAGGAAATTAAATAAAAGAAAAACTGCAGGAGATTTGTTGAGAACCCATCACCTTTAGTGTTGGACACAAAGACAGACTTGAGGACTCAGCTAGCCTAAGCTTTTTCTGAACCTAACACTCTTCTCTGTTCATTCTTGTCCCACTCAGAGCAACTGACCAGATAAAAGTTAGTGGTTACGGTTTAAGCATCTCATGCCACCTACATCCAAGATGATGAAGCAGAGTCAGAATCAGATTTTTTGACAAATAGGTTTTAGTCAAACAAAGAATTTGCTTTGGTATTTTGGAGCACCACAGTCTCGACCAACCAAATAAACAAGCACTGCTACCTAAGCCTACTCTGAAAAACAGTATACAAAAAATAGAGGGCAAGCAAAACTGAAAGAAAGCTGAAGGAACTGCTCTTCCCTGAGTGGTGCCCTGCCTTGTCCGTCTGTCCTTCTGATGGAACAGGAGGGGGGGCATGGATGAGAGGGGTGCGGTCACTTACAGACTCGTATGTGGGGGGAGAAGTGGGCAGCTGAGGGGGCTGCCCTCCTCCCATTGGGTGCTGGAAGTTGTTGTAGGTTCCAACGGGAGCAGTACCAAACTGATCCTGGATGAAATTCACAAGTCAGGTACAAGTTTGAGGAAGAAGGCTGACTATTAGTATATACTGCTATACATCACGATTCAGGTAGAGCAACCACTGATGAAAATACATCCAAACATTGCAACACAGTTCAATTATCGCATTGCGGGACTTCAATAGTGAAATATGAGCCACTATGCTGAGTTACTTGAATATTCTGCATTTTGTTAAATACCAATGAATTATAATTGTACTAATAAAGACCTCTCAGCACCTCTTACTGGAAGTTGATAAATGAACATCTATGGGATACTTTGATTGATTTGGAAGTTTTAATAAAATAAACTGTGGGGGAGCGCTTGGTGGCGCAATGGTTAGGGCGCGCGTCCCATGTATTGAGACTCTCGTCTCGAGCGGTAGGCCCGGGTTCGCTTCCACCCGTGGCCCCTTTCCGCATGTCATTCCCCGCTCTCTCTCCCTGATTTCCGACTCTATCCACTGTCCTCTCTCTGCATTAAAGGCACGAAAAGCCCAAAATAAATCTTAAAAAAAATAAAAAAATAAATAAACTGTGTTATAATGACTTGGCAGAAAAGTCTAGACAGTTAACATTAAAAAGTCTGCATATAAACAAAAATATCCCTGCATGTCTAGAAGCTACTTTAATGGACCAATAAGAACACAAGTATAGGTTATCTGCGTGAACAAAACCCCTAAAGTTATTTATACTTAATACTTTTATATTTTAATATGTAATAATTATAATATTTTCAAAGTGACATAGCTGTATTGTATACAACTGTAAAACTGTTTGATTTTGTGTTTTCAGGGTGTTTAAGATGTTGATATCTATCAAGATAAAATACTAAATGAATAACTTTGTCAAAAGGGATTGTCCTCAATGGCTGGAATCTGTAATCAAAGATTTCCTCTATTTCATCAACTCCTATTGCAGTTTTCTATCACTACTAGTGACAAAAATCACAACCAAATAAAAAAGAACTTACGGCTCCTTTGGGAGGTGGATAGTTGAAAGCTGTGGGCATGGGCATTGGCATTGGCATGGGCATATGCATGGGCATAGGCATGGCACCAGCAGGAGCAGTGAATCCTCCTCCGCCGCCACCGCCGCCGCCGCCACCTCCTCCTCCTCGTCCAAACTTCTTGTCATTGTCAACGTCAATCAGGTCTGCCTCCTCTCCAGCACACACCTCAGGCTGTCCAGAGGCAGGGGTGTATAAGTGAATTATTGTACTAATTATTATTTTATTACTCTTAAACTCATTTTGTAATACTCACCCGGACCATCGCGTCAGGTTCATACGGAACATTGTAGTTCTTGGCGATCTCTATCAGGTAGCGTTCCACCAAGATTTTGGGAGGGGCCTCTACGCTCAGTTTGTGCATCAGCTGTAAACATTAAAGATGTTTGATAAGAAGCTTCTAAAAAAGTAGACTAAAAGTTCATGCATTCTTGAACACAATTGAGTTGGGAAAAAAAATTGCTAACCCTTTCGTTGACTGTGCCAATTTGGTTCGTCTTGCACAGCTTGCCGTACTCTTTGCTGTATTTTGCACACAGCTGGTCAGACACCTACAAGAAGAATGAGTAGATAAGACTCTAAAGACTGCTCCTCGAAGAATAAAAGAACACACCTTGGACAATGTTGTTGGGAAAGAGTTTCTGCTGTATCTACACAGTGCTTACAATTCTGAGCTCATTCACTTCAGCCTGGAGACGGGGTGCTGCCCAAATAAGCGTGGACACTGCCTCTTGCAGGCCTGGGTCCATTTCCCTAATTGGAGAAATGGTTTACAACAACAACAAAAAAAGATCACAGGGACAGCCAGAGAAAAGATAAACAAGAAACACTTTTAACAAGTTAATCAGTAAGTTAAAGAAAAACACACTGATGACTTAGTGACTCACTTCATGGATGTAATGAGGCCGAGACGAGCCAGCAGCAGGTCACAGTACAGCTCTAGGATCTCCATGGCTTCCACCAGATAGTCCTCTCTAATGATATGTTCCACACGAATCCGCGCCCGCTCATCCTTCCCCGCTGACAGGTAATCTGCAATCTCCTTCCTTGCCTTTTGAGCGAGCTCAGCTTTCATGATAAAAGTGTGAAACAAGATTGAAGAGAACTTTTCTTTCTTTTTTACTTTTTATTACTGGCAGAGAGAAACACGTGAATCAAAACATAATTGCGTTTCTTAATCAGACAGAGACTTACTTTTCTTTTTCTCCAGGAGTTTGAATCGGTTGATGACGAGTCGTAGATTGACTTTTAGTCTATCTCCTTTGAATCCTCCTCCCAGCATGATGTGGATGATGATGAACTACATGTGAACAGAACAGCACAATGTACACGGAAGAAATGCACCGAAACCAACCCACAAGGACCATTTAACCTCGCCCCTACCTCTGATCCAGTGACTCACTTAGCTAATCATGTGAGCATGACCAACCCATAGCGACATAATAACTCCAGATTCACTCAAAACAAATCCACAATAAACACAATCAGCTCGCTAAAGATTTCATTTAGCGTTTATCTGCTCATCACATTTAGCTCCAGTCTGACTCAGCGGATAGCTAACCTCGTTACACTTTAAAAAATCTTACAATCTTACATTATTTGTCTTTATTTTAACCTATTAACAAACAACAGAGTCAAAGTCCTGTAACATAACCCGTCACATTAGGCAGATTTCTATTTTCTGAACCCGCCTGACAGCTAGCCTTAGCTTTGATAGCAGTGCTCTGTTGTAGCTAGCTCTTGTTCAACGCGAGCAATAATCACAACAAACAAGTCAAAACACACGAACGTACTCTGTATAATGTGATGTATTTAAAACGATTTTGAATAAACTCAGCGTCAGTGACATACCTGGAGGGTAAGTGAAGCGTACACACCAACTTATTTAGTTTTTTTTTCCTGCTGTGTTGTTTCGTCGCCTCGTTTTACTTCCGTAATCACATTTAATGACGTCACTGGGACTTTTCTTAGAGGAGGCGGGGCCTTTACGCTTTCTGTCAAACCGGAGTTAATGACGGGTGATGAATATATTCAGTCTATTGTGATGCAAACTATGCTACCTTTAAGTCTGTGCTGAAATTGAATGGGCTACTACTTAAAATGTATTCATCGTTTTGGCTTTTGTTATACATTTTTTATTATCATTTGGTTATCCTGCAGTTAAAACAGGCTTACAACATATTCCTGTTTGGAAAGCCAGAGTTAGAATAACATTCAATAAAATAGAATAGAAGCTTAGACCGTGTATAAAGACAGTCTATGGTCATAAACAAGACAACAACAAAAAAACAAACAGCTACACAGGTACTATTTATTCATGGGAAGGGAAGCACAGATAGTTACGAGGTTTGAGATTGAAAACACATTTATTATTAAAGGTTTAAGGGTTACATTTATTGCCACAAAACATCTGTGCAAAGGATTTATTTGTATGAAAATGGAAATATATCCTAAGGACTTTCAGTTGTGACATATGGCAGCTTTCTCATAAAAAGAATATGTACAATATAACGTTGATCTTCAACAACAAACATCACAGTTTTTACAACTTCAGTTTGCTGACAGAAACCTCTTTTGTTTCTTTTTCTTTGAAGAAGAGTCCTTTGCACTTTTGATCTGACTTTTCACTTGGTCCTGCAACTCAGAGAAGAAGGCTTGAGAGGAGCGCAGAGCTTTGTCTTTTCCTTCATCCTGGAACAGAAGAATAACATATTAGTTGAGTCACTTGACAAGCATGCATTTGTATTCTGGTATGAAAAAGTGTGACAGGTTGTAGAGTTGGAAGCAGAGCTATCAGCCTGACAATTAACCAAGTAAACTACCATGTTTCTTAATCCAATATGCAACTAACAGACTATTTGACAACAGTGCCTCTTCAATTGATTGCTTTAACTTGACTGTATTCATATCCAGCATTAAGATAAGAAGCTCAAACAAACAACATTGTTGTTGTATGAGGAGGGGGATTTAGAGAAGAAAGCAGAAGAGTGAGTGTTGACACTTGGCTTAGCTTTTCTTAAGTAAGCCGTAATGGTATCAAAAGTTAAAGCATTCAATATGCAACATACAAGTTAGTCATAAACCCCTCCCCCCTCCCCACGGGATCATTGATGGACGGCTTGCCTGAACAACCCCCCCCCCCCATCCCTCTTCCTGCATTGTATCCCAACTCTCCCCCTATCCCTTTCCAAGCCCGGCTAGGCTGTTTCGTCATGAGCCGGGGATCCGGCCGAAGATTTCAGCCTTTTAATAAGGCAGTTTTTTCTTACCACTAACTTTTGCTGCTTTGCTAAAGTGCTCATGATGGATAGGCCGGGTCTTTGTAACATAACAATGAGTATGAGTAAGTCTTTTTACCTGCTCTTTTGTAATGTTGAAAGACAAAGAGTAAGGTCTGCTTTTTGTAAAGTGTCTCGAGATAACACTTATGAGTTGACACTATACAAATGAAAATTTATTGATTGATTGATTGATAAATCTGTATTGTTATTACAATAACATAAATATACACATACTTTTAAGGATGTATCTGGTTGAATGGCAGTACATATGAACCGTTTCATATTTCAGTTATTTTAAATTGTAACAATGTATTGTATTCTATAGTGCTGCTTAGTTTTGTATGTTGTTTTTTTTTTTACCACTGAAGTAATTAGAAACTGCTGCAAAAAGGTAATAAAAAAAAAGGCAAAGTAGAGGTAAAAAGCGACATAAAATGGAATTAAGTGAATCCCAATCAACAGTCTGGGATTTGTTCCAGACATGAACTATGAAAAATGTTCAACTGCTTGACACATATATTCTTCCCTAAGATCGGAAACATAAACACTGTTAATTGAAACAGTTCTGAGCCTTTGGAGAAACTACCAGACAAATGACTCACCTTGAGTATCGTGGCTTTGCCTCCTTTTGTAAGTTTCTTCAGGTTTTCTGTCGCCTCAGCCTTTGAGGGCTTTTTGTTCTCCCCAGCTCTGCTGGCCTCTTTAAGCTTCTGTCTCTTTTCTTTCTCCTTAATCTTGATACGCTTCACCTGCTTCTTGTGGCGTCGCTCACGCTTCTTGTCTGTTGACGTCTTCTCATCATCCCCCAGAATATCTCCTGCTTTGTTCTTCTCCTTGAATTCGAGGACAGTATTATTAATCAAACAGTGTAACTTAAATTACCAAGATCAAAATCAAGGTTAGGAAAGGGAATTAATGACAAACCTTAATTTCTTCTGGTGCAAGCAGCGTAGCATCACTAGCACTGACTGGAGCCACCTCTTCCATTGTAATAGATGGCAAGTTAGACACAACTTTGACCTCAGGAACAGGCTGTGGACAAAAGTTAACAATGTTAACTAACTGCACTGGCCTGGTAACATAAACAACATGTACAACATGTACATACTTATCTAAGGGAAGTATTTAAAGCACCAATTTATTGTGTCTAAAAAAGTTCAATGTATTATGAACCACAGATTAAAATGGAGGACATTTTTCAGTATCAAATTATACAAGGAAGTTATTTTTTTCGCTTCAGGTGAGTGCCGACATGTAAACACCCACATATTTCTGAATATTTAAAAAAAGACTTTCATCTTTAATATTTCAGTCACATTTAGTGACTTCATGTTAGTGCTGCTAAACTTACTGGTTTAGGTGTGAAGTGGAAGTTTGAAAGAGCATCCAGTTTAAGGAAGAGTGTGTCCATAAGCTTCTGAATTTCCACATGGGCGGGGTTCTCCTCTTCTTCCGTCTTTTGCTGAAATAAGAAAAATAGATAAATAAATAAAAAGGATGCAGCATAGGTTCCTGTGTGTTGGAGAAGCAGTGATAAAGGTTATACCTGATTTTGCTTCAGGTATTCTTGCTCATAGATTTCTGCCAGACTCTGCTTGCTCTTCTCATGGTCCAATGTCAACCTCTTCTTATACTCAAACACCTCCTCTTTGGGTTTCTCTTTGCGGACCACATCATCAAAGGCCTAAATTACACACAGGACAGGGAAGCTGTGTTATGGACATGAGACCAAAAGATACAACTTATATTATTTCAGTAAAATTCAACTTATTGTGACCAACCTGGTCTTTAATTCTCTGTTTGATGATGTCTTCAAGCTGTAGTGTCGTTTCCTCTGTCATAGAGGGGGCTAAAATGGAAAAGATACAATCTTAATAAATTATTTTTATCAAAGGAAGATTTTTTTAATTTTATTTCCAATATGACTCTAGTCAAAATATATAAATATGACACTAGTGATACAAATTGTAAATATCAAAAATCATATTGATACAAACAAAGGAAGAGTCACTCACCCGTCCTAGACACCTGCTCAAACTCCACATCTTCCTCCAACATGCTGTTCTCTGGACGTGTCTGTGCTGTCACCTCTCCAGACAGCTGCCACGGCTTCGCTGCTAGAGCCGCTTTCTCCAACTCATCGATCTTCTCTGACATCTGCAGGTAAGAAAAACAATAGGTTAAGACAATAGCTGGGATTCTGAAATAAGATCTGTACGATTATAACAACAACTTTTATTTATTGCTCCAGGATTTTGACTGCTTATTAAAAGGAAGAATGTGTGTGCAACATTTTAAACATAAATATAGTATATGTATGGTATATATACTACAATGAGTGAGACGCGTGAGTCCCGCCAGCTGTATTGTTGTCGGTCCCGGGTTTACATCATGTTTACATGGACATGACGGCCTTGCGTATAAATCTGCGTTAGTCGAGGACTACAGAAAAGAAGAATAACATAGCCTACTCACTGCTCATTTGGGTGTTACATAAGTGTCTTTCGATCAGTCATTCCATGTCAGTTTATGTGAAATATTAAGTTATGAGTTGGTCCTTCGTGCGAACGCGAGTGGAGAGGGGTTGGACGTGTGCTGCTGGAGGAGAGTGGAGGCTTCAGAATAGCAGAGGTGTCACTAAACAGCAGTTTTTTTTGGTTTAATGCTGGTGCTCAAGGCGACATCTACTGGATCAAAAAGTTGCACATTCTTCCTTTAAGCAACCTGGACGGCAAATAAATCAATGTACATTTGAGACATGGTTACCTTTTCTTGTCGTCTCTCAAAAGAAGACTTTGATTCAGACTTTACTGAGCTTGTTGTTTTTCCTCCAAAAATATCCTCCAAGTCCTCTCCTTCACTGTCATCATCCCCAGAGAGGTTGAAGGTCACTTTCTTATGAGATGCTTTGGACTGACTTGTTTCTTCATCCCTGGCAAAGGAAGGACACAAACAGGCTGTAAATAACAATGCTCGACAAAATGTGCTCCTCCTACGCATAGTTATCGGCACAACATAATTTTTTAATCACACTTACTCATCGTCACCCTCCTCTTCACCATGATAATCATCTTCCTCGTCATCCATGTCTTCTTCACCTTCCTCCTGGCCATCTTCCATGCTGTCATCTTCACCATCTGACTGCTCTTCTGTGATAGCTGGTTCACCGTCCACAGTGTCAAAGAAATCCTTGTATTTGAGATTCCTGGAGCTTTTAGCCTGATAATATACAGCAAGAATACATTTATTATTGTGTACCACTAAGACAATGAAAAATCAAGAGTGAGTGATTAGATACATACCGAGTTTGTCTTTTGCTGTTTTTTAGAAATTATTTGATCAAGGTCAAGCTCTTCGTCCTCATCAGATGGCAGGTCCTGAAAATAATCTACACCATCTTCATCATCCTTTCCTTCTCGCTTGTCCATATCATCAAGAAAAGACTCCATCTCTGACAGTTTGAAGAACTTATCATCAACCTCGGAGGGAACCACCTTTGTTTTTGAGCCTTTTCTTCCACTCTCCTTCTTCTGTTTCTCTCGCTTTTCCAGAGCATCCACATCAAAATCTAAATCAGAGTCCTCATCTGTGTAATCCTCTGCCCTGTCTTCAGCCTCCACAGCCATTTTCTTTGACCGTACGGCTGGTTCTTCTTCTTCAACATTTTCTTCTCCATCTCAAATTCTTCCTCTCTAATACTCTCATCCTCCTCCTCTGCCAGCAACGTTAATGTCTCATCAGACAAAGCCTCTTCAGTGGCATTTGTAAAGTGTTTCAGTACAGCATTATTCTGCAGTTCCAGCTCCTGCCAGATCTGCTCTTCATCAAAGTTTTCCACCACCAGCTGAGGCAAAGGACTCCCTTTATAATCTGCCGGCTCCTGAGCTTTGTGGAGGTCGTACAATGTCTTAGTGAGAGATGTGAAGTCTGCCGCCACTCCATCTTGCAGACTGAAAAAAGGGGAAAGAAATCAGTATGAAAAATCTTGTGTTATGTTAAAGAGGATGATTTTTTTGTTTCATTTGCCCAAAAGATATCAATGGCATTAGATGTGTGCCCTTTGTATGTAATGTTCAATGCTAGGGTGAGCAAAAATACTGGACACAGCATTAATACTCAATCTGTGATACACTGCAACAGTGATTATTACTTTTAGGGAGTCGTACTGTGGAGGAAAGTAGTTAGTTATAACCGAGAAACTAATTTGTATTGAGATCCCCCCCCCACACACACACACACACACACAATTTCCCATTTTTCCTGGAAAGTTTTATTCTAGAGTTGGTCCAATTTCACCTATAAAAACATCACTAACACTTTAATGAAATCACCAAGTTTACCTTTGAGGTGAAAGTACCACTGAACTTTCACATTCAATATATTTAGAGAGTGTAGATTATTTAGACTAATTTGAACAATTGGTGTCGGACTATAAATTGCTTATCCCTCTGCTTATCAGTCCAAAGGATGTTAACATGTTACTATTAGGTACTGGTATTTTAGAGACAGGTAGAAAGTTAAATAAAAGGAGGGGAAAAAATATCATGACAAAATGGTAGGATTGGTAGGTTGGCCCAATGTAAAGCAGAAAAGAGACAACTAACACTTTAATAAAATAAACAATTCAGCATTCAAGGTTAAAGATACAGCTGCTTCTTCACACAATGTTTAATGGGCGTATTCTTTTTTGCGGCTGCTATGAACGTATCAATTAAACTAAGAGGCAGCGTGTGTCAGAATATGAGTGGCTTTACCACCTCTGCTTAACAATCTCTGGGTAAAACCATTATTTTATACAGCTGAATGAGACACTTTAATTCATTACAGATATTTTAACATCCAAAACTGTTCACCTTCAAGCAGATCTGTATCTTGATTTTTGTTGTTTTTAAATGTATTTACGTTTAGATACATCTATATTTTCATTTATGTAGAAGAAACTATCTAGCTACATATACACATTTGGGACTCTGTTTAATGATTTAATTAAGTTCATGACTTACTTCTTGCAGACTAAAATATATTTAGCCATTAAAGTTTATCTTAGAAACAAAAAACAAGCCATTAAAGTTTATCTTAGAAACAAAAAACAAGTCATTAAAGTTTGCCCTTGTTTCTTATATGTTGATAACATACAGACATACATATTGGCACCTTGTGTTACAACACAAGTCATCCGTCCAGACCCTTCATATTTACAGTCTGGTTACATTTACAGAAAAAATAAAAAAAAATAAAAGGTAAAAGTCAACTTCTCTCAAATCTTCCCTGAAGTATTAATCAGGTTAATTATGAGAGCTTTGTTTTCTTGCCACTGAATGATAACTCCAGAAGTGTATGCAGTTAGCTTTAGCCTAGCTCGTTGAATTTCTTCTGTTCACAGATGTTCAAACACAGACAAACTCTCAACAAAACTACACAGCGTTTTAAAAACAACAGTGCCATACAGGCAGAAAACACTTGCCTCAAAAATGTCTCTGGTTGTGCTGTGTTGGCATGTATGGTCTTTACACACTCCTCCAGCACGCTCCACACATCCCTACTTGCCATGGCTTCCCCACATGTAGGACTGTCTGTGTCGCAGGTAAACATGCTCCCCGTTGAAACTCCGCCGCTACTGTTTGGTTCCGAGACACAAACATGGCGTCCACCGTGCTGAAGGTTGCAGGTAGGTGTCTGGTTAGAATGATTTAACAGCCTAATGCATGCTTTTATCTATCCTATTCTCTTATCGTAAATGTACATTTAGTCGACTTTTGATTTAATGTCGAACACGTGTTGTGGTACTATTACTACTGTCCTGTAAAACTGTATGTAAAAGTCACTTGATGTTTGTGGATACAAGGTAGGCTACTGTTTGTTTGTTTTGAACAGTAAGTGTAATACTTTTCGTCCAAGACACGAAAAGTGAACTAATGAGTGTTTAGTTTGATCTGCTTTGTTCGCGATAGTTTTCTCCATCTTCTACTTGAACTGATGAACTTGATCCACGATAACTAATACAGAAAAAAACGTGATCTGTGCTGTATTAGGCAACTAATATTTTTTACCATCATTACCATCATTTTTAATCCTTTGCAACAAAACTGAATTTTTGCAGCCATCAAATCATCAAAACATTAATTCCAAGCAGCTTTTATACCAAATAGTAACCTGATTTTTGTTAGTAAATGTACTAAGATCATTTAGTACATTTCATTTATATTTTTACATTTTTCATTTATATCATTTAGTATTTGCCTACTTGCACATAGCTCTGTATATATATATTTATTTCTCGTTTACTGCACATAGTTCTGTCTACATCTGGTCACTACTGCACATAGTTCTGTATATATATATATATTTATTTCTCGTTACTGCACATAGTTCTGTATATATATATATATTTATTTCTCGTTACCACACATAGTTCTGTTTACATCTGGTCACTACTGCACATAGTTCTGTTTACATCTGTTAGTCCGATCACTGTCCACTTATATCTACTCTTTTATATTTTGTATTTTTAAGTTAAGTTTAAGCTTTAAATTGTGTTTAAATTGACACTTTATATTTAGGTTAAAATGTTTTGTTTACTTGCACTGTTGTTAATTTACTGCTCTGTGTGCCTTTGAATTGCCCCCCGGGGACAAATAAAGTTTTTTGCATTGAATTGAATAAGATTTATACATAATTCATCTACGCAGGTGTTTTCATTTGATGTAGTTGTGCAGGCAAAATATAATGTCTCCACTCTGTTACCATCATTTTGTGTAATTGAAGTCTTGGACAGAGATAGTACAGTCAGACAGTGTCAAATAGATGTTTTTTTTTTATTTGAACTGTTGATTAAAACTTTAACCACAACTAATCTCACAATATCTTCAGGAGCAAGTTTGTCTGCATGCGCTCGTCTCACACTCCTGAGAGCACATTCAACGACAGCAGTCCTCCGTCAGGGTATACCTGGACCACTGTGGAAACTGGGGAGGCTGAACCACATCGCCATCGCTGTCCCTGATATGGAGAAGGCCACAGCTCTGTATCGGGATGTTCTGGGGGCTACGGTGAGTGACAAGGTGCCCCTTCCAGAGCACGGCGTCTACACAGTGTTTGTGGAGCTTGGCAACACTAAGCTGGAGTTGCTTCATCCTCTGGGGGAGAAGAGTCCCATCGCTGGATTCTTACAGAAGAACAAGTCTGGAGGGATGCACCACATTTGTATTGAGGTGAGACAGCAATGATTAACTGTCACAGGTATTAGATTTAGAGGACACTTAATGAAGTACACTGAGTGAGTATTGTGTAGGACACTAGTTTCAGGGAAAGTTTGTAGATAAAACTGTTCCATAAATTGTTCCTCCCTCAAAAGTATCAGGCTACATTGTCAGCCACACATTTAATTCAGGTTCAAATTATAACAAGTAGAATGTTTATTCATTTTTGGTAGGAATTTTCCACTTGGTCCAAATCTGTTAAAATCTTTCAGAGAGTTATAATTTTCAAGAACTAAATGTGTTTTGCGATGACGAAAAAGGTGAGGCAGACCCTTGTAATCTGCACTGGTTGTTTACAAGTTGACCATCAGCATCTGTTTCAGTATGAGCAAAATTAGTAAAAACAAGCAAGTACCATTTTTACAGACCCATCACATTAGCGTTTCATTGATACAATATTTACTTACTGATGTATTAAAAGACTAGCTAGACGGATAAATAGCATACTTTTTCTTGGTTGCAGGTAGACGACATCAACGCTGCGATAGCCGACCTGAAAGCAAAGAACATCAGAACTCTTTCAGCTGAGCCTCGGATAGGAGCTCATGGGAAACCTGTGATGTTTCTTCATCCTAAAGACTGTGACGGTGTTCTGGTGGAGCTGGAAGAGGCATGAATATTTCAGTCTGAAAGGGACTGTGGGAGCAGTTTGTTCACGTTTATATTCCACAGTCAGTTTGATACACATCATGACAATGGCTGATGACTTTGTAATTTTTTTTTTCTTTGTAGCACTTATTTCTTCTTATTTCAAAAATGTGCCTCAGAGTTCTTTTTCAGGACTGTACCTTACTTTTCTGTGTGGAATAAATAATGGTGTGGCGTGTTTGAAATATTCCATTAAGCTTTAAATCTTCATTACACTTTCCTACACTGTCCTGAGGTATAATAAATATATAATAGAAACATTTTAAGACAGCTGTTCCTGCAACATGCTGTATACAACATGTCTGACACCTACCCCGTGGCAGGAATGATAGGCATATAAAATAAACTCAATTATATAGAAACTATCAGTCTTGGTGCTGTTGATCTTGTTGACTTTAATAGCTTTAAAAGGGCACCAATATTAGTTTGTTTCATAACCAGCTACCAGCTTTAATTCACAGTTCAAAATACAACCATTTTTAAAATATTTTTATACATGTGTAACTTTACGTTTATAAAATGTACAACTCAGGCTGTTCCTATGTAAATGCAGATTCCTTCATGAAAATGAAATCTTTTGATTGGAAAAGTATTTTTTCACAAACATTTTAATTTTTTTAAACTCTGCTTTAGGTTTTAAAATGTTAAAAAACATTTGTATCTTTGAGTTGCAACCCAAATCAGAAACTTTCTAACACTGACTCAAGCCTAAACAGCATTTTATATGCAGTAAACACAGTGTATTATATTACATTTATATGTATTTAGTATTCTTCTTTATTTTTAAATTTCATGATAGTTAACATGTTTTGTATTTATAAAGTTACTGCAGGCTGTTAATGTATGGTCTGATTTAGTACTGTTGATTATTGTTTTCTTAACCACCACTAGAGGGAGTGACCCAGCAGCCATTCAAAACAATAGTTTATTACCCTGGCAGAAGGAAAATCTAAAAAAAAACAAACAGGCCCTATTACAAAACGAGGGAGACTCCAGAGGTCTCCTCCCCAGAGTTTCAGCTATACTTCCTGTGAACTATTGAAGCTTCTGATTTTGAAAACCCCCGATTACTTGAAACTTTAGAAACCCATGAGCTGGTCGAAAGAGAAATTCATCCAGAGCTCCACGAACAGAATGAGGAACTGTGGATTGAAGGAAATCCAAACAGTGCATTTCACAAAATTGACAGCTTTCCTGATGTCGTTCCATGAAATAAATGAAATAAATGACAGAAAATGATGAGTTAGTCATCACACTGCTTATTGTGTTTTTTTGGTAACTTTTTCAGGTGTGTAGGAAATCAGTATTTTTGCCATATTGGATAAACAGTGTTTTTTTGTTGTTGTATTAGTCTTAGAAATCTCCAGTTACTATCATCTTCTTCATGAACATTTAGGTTAGAAAAGCAATACTTCTCCATTTGCCCTTTGTTCATCATTGACACGAGTGTAATTCTACAGAAGAGCGTCAGCTGCAGTCTATTTCTGTTTTCAATGTTAGTGGAAGTGAAACAGATCATCTGTGTTATAATTAACCAGGTTTTCTCCACTGAAGTATTGTGGTTTCCACATTTGACACACTTGGAAACATTAGAAAATAAGAGCAGAAAATCAGAATCCAGAGGGTTTGTTTTATTGGTTTGATAAACATGTCCTGGCAAAAAACCCCACCACAAATATAGTGATGACAAAGGCATGGCTAAAAGCAGAGGGAAAAGAGATCTTTGAACTTTAATATGGAATACGAGTAATATAAGAGGTTTCAATGACGAGCTTCAATCATGCAGATGGCTTTAGATTTGAAAACAGGTGAAAGCGAGATACAAACATACATATTAAGAAAGCTTGGGGAAATGTGCTGTGAAGGTATTTAGCTGCTTTCTTTGCCTAAGGTGTGTTTGTCAAACAGGTACTCTGCCAAGCCGTTCTGTGGAGCTCCCATACGGCGTAGGTTGGTCACCCAGTCTGCCAGCTCTTTGATGGACTTCACCTGCTCGTCCAGGTAGTGCGTCTCAATGAAATCACACAACTAAAAGAAAAAAGGGATGAAATTAAATCAGAGCTAAATAAAACTTAAAGGCAAACACTTTGATTATCTATCTATTTAGTATGTTCACATCTGGGAGTCCTGTTTTGCAACCTAATGTTTAGTTAAATATAGCTCTGGAGTAAATAAAACATGTTTTGAGACATCAAAACAGGACACAACAATATTTAACAGATGTTTCACATCTGGTGAAAAATAAAAAAGGAGACCTGCAGGTTGAATATAAATACAACTCTACCTATACGATACAATTATGTAAGAAAAACAGAGCCAAATATATATTTTGATAAAAACTACAGCACTCTAAACTTTCTACACTCTAAAGCAGGCTTCCCTGCCACTTTGACTCATTGATTCACTATTTATGACTTGGCGCAGATGAAAAAGGGTAATGTTAACAATAGTTCATTGTCAAAAGAACAAGAAGATGACAGTGGGATAATGTCACAAAAGAAGAAGTTATGATAGTGTGATAAGAGGTGAAAATGACACATAGATGCAGTGAATAAATATATTAATACTGTACTTAGACTTTTGAGAAGTGTTTTGGATTCTTCAGTTAGAAAGCATAAGTGAGTCATCATTCATTATATTATTATACGATTGTCTTGCAATATATAAATTATCGGAGGATCATGATATTGTCATTGTGGGCCACGTATTGTGTATTGTATGTCACTCTGCGATTCCCATCCCTCATATCTAACCACCGATGTTCTGTAGGGTACAGGTGTATTAAAAAAAAATGTGTACAGCTCAGAGCTTATGCTCAGATCTGAATTTTTTTTTATCATTTAACCTAGTATGAACAAGGTCACTGAATCATTACCCTGAGTGTTTTTGTTCTTATTTAAAATCTTGATTAAAACTTTAATCTAGAGAATATGGGCTTGGTGTTCTCTCAAAGGATGTGATACTGACGTAAAATGGGTTTGAAGGTGCTTAACTGGGCAACCATCATACTCACATGTGGGTCATTGTGATCAGAGCAGAGCTTGTGCAAGTCCAGCAGTGACTGGTTCACACTCTTCTCCAGCTGCAGGGCACATTCCAGGGCCTCGATTCCACTGCCCCACTCGTCCCTCTCTGGCTTCTGTGTGACAAAGTAGGCCAGGATGTGTTTAACATTTGACTCCAACGATGTGTTTGAGAGTTAAGATAAGCAGCACAGTTACGCCCGCGGTATCTTTTGTCACTTAGCTACCCTCCCAGCATGGGCCACACGATAGCACAAATTGAGACAACGCGCGCAAAAATGCAAAGACACAAAAAAAACTATTGATCAGATCCAATAGCAGCACATACCCTGACATCCTGTAGGAAGATCCTGCCCCCCCTCTGGTTCTGTAGTTTCATCAACTTCTCAGCGTGCTCACGCTCCTCATGCGACTGATCACGAAAGAACTTGGCAAAGTTGGGTAATGCCTGGTCATCCCGGTCAAAGTAGTAGGCCTGTGAGGGGAAAAGAAAAGTTTGTTTTTCAACTTTTTCTGAAGTCGGCATTTCCTTCTGGGGAGTAACTAGTCCTGGAATAGGCAAATAAATCACAAACAGAAGTGTCTAGCCAAGATTATATCAAATAGAACTTGATTAATCCTGAACTAACTCTTGTACCACGCTGCCCAAACATTACAGCACAAAGAAAGAACAACATAAAAAAGAGCCTCAAATGTATTTAAATACCAAAAAACAACAACATAAAGTTAAGTACTTAACTTACATAAAGTAACAGAGAAAGTTAAGTATGGCATTATTGGCAGTTCAGACACAGAAACATTAGACAAATCTTAAAGTGGCCACTCATACAGTTTAGTTAATAATAATAATAATAATAACAATAATAATAATAATAGCTAACAGAAACAATTAGCTGCTTTTATTAATCAGAACTAACAAGAACAGAACTTTCCAAAACAAATCAACAAATCCAAACGTCTGTTTCTCTTTGATACTACCTGGCTAACCTTTCTAAAAATGAAAGGAACTGGAGAGAATGTTTAAGAATTACATATTTATAAAATCCCTTTTTTTTTTTTTTTTATTTACACAGCTGTCTTGGAACGATTGATGAGGGCTTTGCCCGGAGTTGAAACACGGTTTTAAGGTCAGGCAACAAACTCTGTGCCCGGTTTCTGTACATACCGCAATCTCAAATGGAACTTCAACCTTTGTTCACCGAAGTACATTCATCAGAGCTAAGCTCACATGACATCAAACAGACACCTTCGCACTTATTTGCATGTTTCACAAGTTAATGTTTAATATAAATGGCTGATCACTGTGATTTTATCAAAATAGGACTGACTCCATGTTCCGAACTACTATCTTTGTAAAAAAAATACTTAGTTACATTTTTAGAAAATCTGTACTTTACTTGGTATTTAATATTTTTGCAACTTCTAATTTGACTTCTCTACATGTTATCTGAAAGAAAGATAATTTCACTACATCAATACACCTTGATACTCGTAACTTTCTACCTGAATGTAATCGTTGGTCTCTAATCATCAGCGTTGATTATCTAGACTCTGCATGTCCACATGAGAGCAAAGAAGAGTGGTGCGCGTTCTCTTATCAAAACAAGTCCCAGCATATCTTCATTAAAAAGGTGACACATTGGCTGGCCTTATCTCTCACAGATGCTGGTTAAAGAGCAGAATGGGATGCTGCCACACCGCAAACCTCTAACTAATGAACGGCAACACATGTCGCTTTATCTCCATAAAGAGAGAGGAGGGAGTAAGAGGAAACCGATAGGAAGTGGAAGAAAAGTTTTGCTATTGTTAGGAAAAAGTGTTGTAATATTGTTGAGAATATCTGGCTCGTGTCTTTGTTACTATACTGAAGTACATTTTAACACCAGCTACTTTTAATACTTAAGTACATTTAGAATCGGCTACTTTAAGACTTTAACTCAACTTTAACTTTTAGTTACTTTCGAGTGAGGTATCTTTACTTTTACTTCAGTATGGTTTTCAGGTCCTTTTTCCAACTACCCACATTGTTTTTCATCCATCTGCTGTATGTTGGCACTCTGAGGATAAACACCTCGACAACACTGCAGTTATATAACCACAACCGAGCAAAGCGAAAAGGCAAATCAAAATTACTTCTCTGTAATAACTGATACCAGCATGTTTCTCCAATACCAACATGTCCTGCCTGCATTATCTTCCACTTTATTCTATTCAGGGATTTTTCACTCACCATAGACAGGTAGACGTAAGAGGCATACAGCTCCAGGTTGATCTGCCTGTTGATTGCAGCCTCGCAGTCCTGGTGGAAGTTCTGTCTCACCTGGGAACTCATGGTTCTGAAAGAAGCAAGGAAAAGTCTTACAAGACACACAAACACAGTGTGTGTGTGAGTGTGAGTGTGCGTGTAAGATAAGGGAAAGGCTGATACGAGTCTGGACAGTACATGCTATGATAAAAGGGATCCAAATGTTCAAAGTAAAATTAATCAAATGTAACTTCTTCTGGTATTTCTTAAAACAGCTCATTAAAAAGTAAGGCTTACTCGGATTGAAATTGTTTTAACATACTAAAACATTTCCTAAATGGTGTCTTTTAACTTTACAGTTAAAACGACGTATGTTGTGTCCTTCTCGATAGTGATGATTCATTTCACTTTTCACAAGAAAAGACTCGGTAAGTATTATCTCGTTTAAATATTTTATTAAACAACAGATCAACTTTAAGATATAATGTTCTTGACAAAAAAAAGGCAAATATTACTGGACATTACCTGTAGCTTCTAAGTACAGTTCGACATGAATACAATATTAACATATAATAAATATTGCATGCACTTTAGTGTGCCTTACACAACAGCAGCGTAATGAGAACAGCCTGATTACCACCTACGAGTCAGTGGGTTTGACACCACAAACAAACACAGTTACATAAGAAAAACACTGGAAATAACAAGGAAATAAAGCTAGAAAAATCATAAAATTAATAGTTGGTTCATTTTAATCAGTTCCAATGTGTTAGACTTACTAGTATCTTGTGTTTATTTCGCATGTTTTACAGGCCTGTGACTGAACAAGCTGCGCAGAGGATCAGGAACAAACTGCGTCAAGGCCATAATTAATGGGAGGAGATAAACAACCGAAGCAGTAAAGCTTTCTTTACTGACAATTACATGCCCGACTAATACAAATGAACAAACAGGAAAACAAGAATCTTACAGATCCTTACCTGATTTTATTCTCGGGTCTTCTGGTAAGGCGGAAAAGTGTGGCTAGATAGCAAAAACAAACAGCTAGCTTGTTGGCTAAAACGTGTTGAAGAAATCTTAAGCGAGCTTCAGTTTTTTTTTAGATTATGAAAATTACGTTTGATGTTAAAGGCGGTGTTCTGGCTGATTTGATGGATTATTCCCGTCCTGGTGTTGTAAGAAGACAGTCGAAAGGTTGCCGTTCAAGCACTGTTGAAGCAGGTAACCTTCACTGTCCGCTAACGATAGGGCGCACTGCGGGTAACGCGCGGCACCGCGACAGATAAGCGAATGGTGCGGACCGTGACGTCACTACCCGGAAGAGGGCGTGACATGCTGCTCCCACATTTATGTATTTATATTGAGGTTTTTTTTTTTGAAGCAATGGTGGAAAGTTACCAAGTATAATGAACTCAGTTGTATATTTTCCTCTATCTTTAATTATTTATGTACAATTACTTGCTAGCCTCCAGCCAGATTTAACCAGATTTAGGCCGTGTTCACTGCTTTCTGTAACCATAACAACAGGATGTAGTCTGTGGCGCAACCGCGCCGGAGCACGACGCATCAATTTTGCACAGAAAAAGAAGAAGCGGGACGGGAAGTCAGACACCGACATTAAAACATCTGGTTTATTTTTTTTTTTGAAAAAAAAACCCTGTTTTGACGGTTCAGAAAAACCACCGTTTGTGTGTTTGTTTATGTGTTTATAAGGTTTTTATTGAGTTTTATACCACATACATCGTATTATCTCGTGCTGGGCTGCGGACTGAGAACACAGCCCGGTGGGTGTTGTTGACGGATGACGATGCACGGACCCGTAACAGACCGGAAGCGGGCACACAATGCACACATTATCTGGTGGAAGTTCGCCGTTGTTGGACACAGGTAACTAATATTTACAGTCTATGGTAACTAGGGACGTAGGTCACTACTCGTCCTGATTGGTCAGCTGTCAGAAAGGCGCTTGACGTCACCCAGCGCTTTTCTGAAAAGTTAATTCAATTGAAAAAGGTGTCGGGCACAGCGCTTTTTAAAATAAATAATATATTACAACATTCGGCAAAGACAGCGGATAAAGTTGGTGCCCAATAACAAGCTACACTATTAATCTATTGTAAAGGCATCAGTAAATATTCCTAATATATAAAGTACATAAACTTAAATAGATATTTCAGAACATCGACTTCTTTTACTTTCGATACTTAAAGTTTGATACTTAAGGTTTCCCGCTTTATTTGTGTCTACAGAAAACAGTACACAGTGAAGGAAAAGTTTGCAATGAATGTGAATAATGACAAGTAATGCTCTGGAGTTGTGTAAAATCAAAGGAATAACATGAGGTTATTCGCAGCATAGCTAGAATTCAAATCTCTAGCAATAAGTACCCTAAACCATGGTTGTGAAAGGGTAAACTTTGGCCATGGTTTCAAAGGGTATTTAGAGTTAGGAGACTTGAGGCTTGACCATGGGATCAGGTTTATTTCCAAGCTGGTAATTATAAGTTTATATCAGGACATCACATCTACTACAGCACAGTCATATCTTTTACACCAAAAAAACAATAAACTTCCAAAGAGCTATCATCTGCTGGCTCAGCTCGGAGCACATGATTCAGCTCTGTGGCGTCACGGACAAAATCAGGAGAAGTTTAATATTGAGAAACAGCGTGTAACTTAATGACTCATCAGGACATGACTAAGTGGCTTAGTAAGTATCTTGTCATTCTCTTCAAATACTGTCTCAATTCTCAATTCCCCCCAGTTAACTTCAACATTAATTTTTGTACTGTATATACCCCCTGTTTTTATTTTTTTATTCTTATTTATCTTATCTATTCTGTTTAATGTGTATTTGAGCTTTCTTGTCTGTGCTGCTGTAACGCCCGAATTTCCCCTCTGGGCATCAATAAAGTATTATCCTCTCCTCTCCTATCCTAAGACACACTGTATTAGACAATCCTAAAAGCCAATCGTTAAACGTTCATCAGTCTTTGACAGGGATAAATTAGAAACCAAGCAAAAATGGCTACTCTTTGTTTGCTAGTTTGGGAATACTTATATACACACTTCTGTAAATTATGTGTATTTACAAAAAAATTAAAATGAAAAGATTTTTCTTCCTATCAAGACACCAGAGTGGTTCCCTGTCTAAACGATCCATTTCATTCAGGAACATATACTGTAGGCCTTGTTGGGTTTACGGCCTGCTTAGTGTATGAGACAGGTTCAAGTGCTGCCCAAAGAAACAAATATCAAAAAACATTCAATTACAAACAAGCAGCATTTTTCATTTTCTTAGTATAAACAGGCTCTTCTAGTCCACTGCATGAAACCTGTTTTTAGTCGTTTTGAAGCTATTTTAATTCATTAGACATAAGGAAAACCAGGAAACTTAAGTGAGCTGATGTTTATTAACATATCTGATCTTTCAAATTACTGATTTTAACAAGACTAATGTGAATTTGAATCATCAAAATCTCCTGTAGTCGAATCATTTTGATATTTGCTGTGCAATGCCCCATTATGCCTGCTCAGATACCTGATTGTACTTTATAGCTGCATTTGTTTTTTGGTCTTCACATCTACATTCAGTTTCATACACCTGAGATTTTGATACACTTTGAACAAGAAAAGGTTTTTTTTTGATGAAAAAAAATGTTTTGAAGAACAGACACCGCATGTGCTCGTGCTACAAATTGGACAGCGCCATCTGCTGAAAACTGAGCTCAATCACATGCTCCAGTCTCTAATCTAGTAACTTGTATCTGACCTACAGCACAATACTGTATGCAAAATATTTAGAACAATGACTGAACAGTGTCATCCCAGAAACACCATGTCAATTTTGTTTTTGTATGTTTGCACAATTGTGTTACTGATTTTCAGACTGTTGCACATTAAAAATCTTGGTACCAGTGGCTGCCTTTTCACCAGCCAGCTCACATTCAAACCCTTTACTACTTTCTGAATACCAATAACATTAAGATCAAAGCTAAAAAAAAAAAAAAAAACCCACTGACTTATTTTTTTATAAATTTTATTTATCCTTTGGAAAAGTTTAATCGAACAGGCCGAATCCCATGTCGTCATCAGACGCCTCAGATTCTTCCTTCTCTTCCTTTTTCTCCTCAGCTGCAAAACAATATAACATTTTATCTCTGTAAAATCAACATAACATTCAACATGTAGCTATGCCTTGTCACTAAAGTAATTCATGCATTTATCTTTATACACATTAGTCAGAATTTGTTTTAAAACACAGAGGATGCTGTACTTAAAATTGCCCCAAGAAAAGAGCCAACATTCTCCACAATCAATTTATTCATTGTGATTAACGAGCGATGTAAAAATTGAGAAATAGGCAAAACTGTCAAAATAGTTATTTGTAAATTTGTAACATGGTACCATGCGAAACTAACACAGAATTTAATCAGATCAACATACAAGGGGAAAGCATGTGCCAAATGTCACTGATGCTGACAAATTAAGTGCTAAACTGCAATGCTCACCTGCAGCAGGGGCTGCGGCTCCACCTGAGCCAGCAGCTGCAGAGCTGGCAACAGCCACTGCACCACCTGCAGGCATGCTGGCCAGCTTGCCGTAACCTGAGGAGACATGAGTTGGCAGAGGAAAAGCTCAATAACGTTGACACTCCATATCCAGGAACAAGAGAGGTCAGAAATGTAATCTAGTATTAAAAAAGACCTTTGGTTGAATAGTTATAAGCTTCAAAATCTCAGTTATATTTTTTTTTTGATTGAGCAACATGAAATTAAGACTTGTTGTTTCTGTCTGCTTTCATTCAAATTATTTAAAAGTTTTTCAAATTGGATTATTTTTGACCAGTTACCTACTAAATGATTCATTGGCAGACTTACCTGTGGCAATTACATCATCCACGTTCTTTCCACTGAGCTCTGTGATGACCTGATGAAAGAAATCAAATCTGTTAACAAAAGCTCACTGCTGGTAGAACCACTGCAGCCCAACTCCAAGAAAACCATCTGATGTACCTTGTCAAGACGTGCATCATCAGCCTCAATGCCAACACTTTCAAGGATCTTCTTGATGTCCTTGGCATCAGGGTTCTGAGTCCCAGAAAGGGAAGCGAGCAGGTAAGCAGCAACGTAACGCATTCTGCAAGAAAAGCAATGTTAAGTAGGATTATAATTTCAAACAGTGTGAATTGATAAATCACCAAACAGATAGTAGCAGATTTTGTTAGTCCTCCCTTCATTAACATTGTGTGGTTTATAAATCTAAATCTGGCATGATGTTCAATTAAACGTATAAACACATCTCCAATCTTTAACAGAAAGCCAATAAGAGATTTTATTATACTGTGAAACAAAATTTTGAATATCCATTAATTTGAGGCACATACAGACTAAGTCTAAGATAGATATGTAGAAGTCGTTTAAAGTGTCCTTAAAATGTTTTTTTAATGGTAAATCCTTGGCAGGTAACTATAACCACACAATGCTAACATAATATACATCTTAAATCAAATTGTTGGGGGCTTGCACGGCAACTTTGAGCAAATGCATTAGAGTTTTTTTCTCTTCTGAGTAACGTTGTGGAGGATAGATGAACACACAATCTGACCATCTATATTCTGAGTTAAAAGAAACCGCTACAAAATATTTTTAAGAGGGTGTCGTAAATTGAAATAATTATTTAATAGGTGAAAACTGAGTTAAATTTGTTACATTTTACACCCATGTGGCGGCGTGCTCTGCGGACCCGCTAACATTATCACTAGCTAACTTAGCCGCTAGCGTCAACCCGGTGTGTAAAAAAAGAACAAATATCACCAAATGCCGCACCTCAACTTCTTTTTTTTGGACTTGTGGTTCGAGCTTACATATTCTTTGTTAGTAATTGTCTATATTCCTGCGATTAATTGACATATTAAGTTATATATCAAACACTTACTTGCTGGACAGGCGAACGCGTGTTCACTACAACGTTAGCACGGACAGAAAGGAAGGAGAGTCCCCGGATGTAGGCGGAAGAAACCTCGCTTCTTCTTCGTCAGACATTTAGACCGAAAGAGAGTAAAGTGCCGCCTGCTGGACCGGAGTGAGAATTAAAGTAGTTTACAAGAATCCTCCATTCAAAGTATGACACTTTAAATGAGAATTTAAATAACATTTTGTATAGTAGAGTACGAAAATTGCATAGATCTATTTATAAATATTTTGTAATCTCAACCAGAAATTCAATTTAGATAATGGTGACGTTTTCAGTGAGAGGTTTTGAAAATTCAAATAGGGCCATTTCATATGTTAGTTACAGGCATTTGCATAGAAAATTATATTCATTCTTTCAATTTTCAACACATAAGCTCTTTGAAAACTTCCACAACCCTTAAGGCATGTTTTTTTTTTTTTTTAAAGTCGTAACATGTAAAAAACTGAAACAAATGATTTTTGTATTTGATTTATATTTCATCCCATAAAAACATCATACATTTTCATTTTGTCCTCTAAATATTCCACTTTTTGTGTGAAAAGGTTCCTTCCTGCGCAGAGTGGCGCCTTCAGTTTGTGTTGTGTTTCTTGTTTCTACGTAAAAGGTTCAATAAAACAAGTTTCCCATTTACTGTTGTCAGATATTCTGCTTTAGATTCCCACTTGAAATATTATCTTATTTAGCTGTTAAATTATTTATTGTTTTAGTGGGATTTTTGTTCTTTGGCTTCTATGTGTTCCTGAAATGGTTTGCTCCAATTAGGGCGGGGCCAAGAGAAGCATAAAAGTAGACTCAGCCAGAGTCTCAGGGGAAACACTGTTATTTGTGGCAGGTTGCTGTGCTGTGGTTTTCTTATTAATCTACCCGGGACTGTTGTTTTTGCTCTTTTGCACGTTTTTGGTTAATAAATCCACAACTTTATTTCTGCAACAATTTTCTCCTCCTGAGCAATTCTTCTGCAGGAACATCTTTTTTACCACCAGTGCCGAACAGCCAAACCTTAAATACATGTAGACTTACAACCCTGTAATGCCACATTTTGACTGTGCCATATCCATTAATTGCCACTTGTTTAAATAAAAGGAAAATAAACCACATTATTCCAAGATATGTCCCATCATTGTTAAATAAATTGTTTATGATTTAAATTACATTTTAAAGCCTGAAAACTTCTCATTCATCCTAGTCAGGCTGATAAAGTCTGCATTTAGCCTTTTTTCACGTCACATATTTAATCTAAGTGATTTAGTCCAGATCTTTTTGGTCTTTACAGATTTTGCTGTAGCAATATCTATGTGCAGAGGAAATGCTCTCAAACTTGTATGTTTTTTCTTCAAATATCTGCTGGTATAGTTTTCTTTAGGTCTCATCTCTTAGAACAAACTATGTGTTGTTTCGCCATACATGAATCAGTTTCCTCTTTCTCGTCGGCTCCTTCTGTTGTTTTGGCTCCAGATCCAGTTTGGCCTCCTGCTTCGTCCTCTGGCCCTGCTGCTGCTGCTCAGCTTGTTCCTGGGTGTGATTGATTTCGGTTGCCAGCAAAGACGCAGCGAACCATCCTCACACAACACTCTGCTGTGGATCGGGTCCACAGGATGAGAAACCAGCAGCTGTGCTCCGGTCTCAAGCTGTAGTGTGAACAACCGGCTCTAATGAATCGCTGTCACATGCACGGCTAGGTTCCAGGCAAGTAGCCACTGAATTACCTCTGAGCTCCTCTCAGACACCTATAGTATGAATGGATGCTTAAACATAACTATATCCAGAAAAAACTTTAAAAACACTAAGAAAGTGGCAGCAGACAATTTAGGCGGAAAAAGTAGATCACAATTTTACTTCTCATGAAGACTGTCTACTCTCAATATGTCACAAAATAAAATAAATAGCATTGATTAAAAAAAATTCCAAGATTCAAAAATGTTGTAATCATTAAAGAGATATGTTGCTTTATTAGATGTGCCCATTAATGCAGGCATGACTGAAGGGAAAACTTCCGTCAAATACTTTCTATTGCAATAATTATTGAAACAGAGCCTGATTAATGTTATTAATAACATCCATGCTTTTTGTGTACTGATTATTAAAAACACCGCCTGTAAGAACAAAGATTAAAGATGTAGATTGATTTGGGAACAATATATAAAAGTGTGAGGCTCAAATCTTGTGTGCTGGATTTCTTTAGAGCACAAAACTGCACGTAAAGAGAAAGATGGAGAGGCTTATAAAACAGGGATTATATTCTCCATAGTTCGTGATAATTCTAATGCGGAAAACCTTATTAGTTTCAAGATCTCCCCTACTCTCTGATACATTGTTATTCACCACTTAATCTTGGATTTGGAAAGTGTTTGTGGAGTATTTTCTGTATTTTACCTCATGGCATGACTAGTTCTGTGAAGTAGTTTCTTGCTTTATATACATTTGATGCAACACGGTGAAAGAGGAGCAGTGCGGTAGAAAGGGAAAACAGCTGCAGCAGTGAAATGTATGACTTTGTCAGATTTGTTGGAAAATGAAACATCTCAACTAGTTTAACAAGTCATGTTGATAATCTGCCCTTTTTCTCTGACAGTATTTTTTACATTTATTACATCAAACAGGATCATACTGTGTTGTTTAATCTGAGTTTAATGCTAAATTTTTTACACAACATCTTCCATACATTCTGTCATATCCGTTATTTGAAGCATCATGCAGCCTGTGTGCAACATAAACGTTTGAAATAAAATATCTCAACAAACAAAGAGATGCGATCAAAAGTGTTATCTCCGTTGTTTCCAGGGTTATTGAGTCACATTGTGCGTAAAAAGGAGTTCAAGGAGACCTTTAAGACTTGTTATTGTAAGCACTGTTTATTAAGCCTCCAAGCTAAGTATCCATATGTTCTACATCACAACAGTTTACATTCCACATCAATGTAACATAGTTAATTAGGTAAGAAACCAGAGAACACAAAATAACACAACACGCTCTAAAGGTAATAGTTCTAAACAAGCACTGGCTAAAACATTTTCAAAACATTATCAAAGATTTCACAAATGTTGCAAGTTTGGTCTTAGTTTGGAAAAGAAAGAATCAGTTCAGCCCTCAGAAGATAAGTTCTGATCCAGGAGGGTCTCTCTCTCTCTCTCTCCCCCCCCTCTCTCTATAGAGATCTCCTTCTGCACCTGCACTGCTCTTCAGAGAGGCTTTTCTGATATGGCCTTGGTACACAGTCAAAATGGAAGTACCAATCATTCCTGGTATTTGTTTTAGGAAAATCACTTATAAAAATTGAGAAAAATATCAAAAGAAAAGTATTATAAAAAATACTCTATTGACCATCCCAATATATAGACAAGGAAAACGAGTAGAAAGTTGAAGGGTACTTCACAGAGTTTCCAAACTAAGTCAGACAATGGTCGGTGACATTCAGTGGAGAGCGTGACTGTGCATTATCAATACCAAGTCTCATTACATTTTCCTGATTCATGATGCGTGTTCATAAGCAGTGAATCTAGCTAGCCAACGCCGGATCAAACAATCAAGTGACAAACTATATATTATTTTAAGACATTTCAGCTTTTATGTACATCCCTACTCTTGTGCTAAATGCTTGCTCCCAAAACAAAAAGTGCCTATGTAATGGTCTATTGCTAACCACACTGTCACAGAAACCATCTCTTCTACATGCATCCTGACAATCAACTATCCAATAGAAAAGCTTAGATCAAGACATTTCACTGCAAATACCTGACTGTGATCAGTTCAAGAATGTCCCAATAATAAAACATTGTAAAAGCAACTCCCATGTGTTTCAGTCGAGCGGTTTAAAAACGGTTGAGTAAGTCACGTTACATTAGCCGCGTCCACACGGCCTTTAAAGTGGCCGTGTTCAGTAACATTCTGCAGAAAATTTACTGCTGTTTTGTACCATTCTAAGACTCATTCAAAGTTTTGAAATTGCTTGCATAGATAATCAATTTGCATTAGGTTTTGGTGTATTTTGTATGTTTTATACTTTGTCCCTAAATTAAGCCTTCTTAAGAAGTGTTAAGATATAAGATAAGGGGCTTATGTACTCATTGTGTTTGATCTTTTTTCCTCACATTACTTTTAATAATTTAGGTAAAAGTGTCATCCATTCAAAGCAATTTCAGTTCAGCTTGATAGTTAAACTGATAACTAAGGAAACAGCTGACTGGTAATAATGGATGCATGCAGAGATTGTAACAGACAAAAGTAAGAGATCTCAAGAGTGCCAGATCAAAAAGAGAGACTCATCATTCACTGCAAAGTGTTTCTGCGACTTGATCCAGCTTCTGTCTAATGTGTATATCACACAGATTGAACACAGCTACCTCAATCATTACTGCCCCTCTATCTCAATAATATGGCTTGGTCAGCTAGAGCCTAGTTTACATTATCATACATAACATGACGCTGCATCTAGATGTGGTAAGAAAGTTCTAAATATATTAGTGAAGTGATTATTCTGTTGTCTCCCCTTGAAAGATCAGAGAGAGACGTCTTTTCATACAGTACTCCCTTTTTGTTTATTATTGAATAATAAAATATTTTCACTGGTTACCTTGTTCGATTGATATGTTGCATGCAGGCGTGTGTTGTTGTTTTAAAAGCATTTACATCCACAGCATTCGAGGATTTCAACACTTTGTGTTGCATTTCAAAAAGTGAGAGGAAGTCTACAAAAACAGGCTCCTGTGAGTTATCGACACATTACCTACACGAGCCTGCTAAAGAAAGAATCAGAACGACTTGACTGATTGGCAGTATTCAGTAATAAGATGTTCACCATTGTTATTCCTTTTACACGATGTGCAGTTTGTATTTAAATATAGAGTAGATTGGTGCCACTAAACTGATGGTTTCACAGAGAAAGAATTTTAGTGATAATGAAGAAAAATACAAAAATGTCTCAGTATGGAAATAAATATGTGCTGACTGTACAGAAAACAACTAAACCTATTGCTGTAGTACTTTTTTTTTTTAAATGTATCTATTGTAATATTGTTTGTCATGAGTATAAGCATCATCAAAGGACATTCTCTAAACCTGTTATCCCGCTTG